ATAAAACAAGAATTCATACGGAATTTTGAGAAAACTATCCGAGGGTCACTCCGCCTAAGCACAGAATACCTACCAGAAGTGGAACTCTATACTATTTTTTCGTAAGTGTGATTCGTCATGATTCGTCACTTAGCAAGTGCATTTTTTTGAGGCAGTCACCCTCCTGCCAATGTCTAAAATTAGCGCATTTTTAGTATTGGCAGGGGGGTGACTACCTAAAAAAAATGCACTTGCTAAGTGACGAATCATGACGAATCACACTTACGAAAAAAGTACAGGAGTTCCACTTCTGTAAGGTATTCTGTGGCCTAAGTAAACGTCATCTTTTTGAGATATTAACTAAACGCTCATTGGCTTACCTGCAGAACCACCAATGAGAACCAATGAGCGTTTAGTTAATATCTCAAAAAAGATGACGTTTCCTTAGGCGGAGTGACCCTCGGATAGTTTTCTCAAAATTCCGTATGAATTCCTGTTTTATTTCGCTAATTTGAAGGCTTTAGATGTTGTTTAAAAACATGGAAACTGCAGGATAATGTAGTTTACTCATCTGTAATTATTAGGTTGTAGTTTTTGTGGCGTTTCTTCAAGTAGTTTTTTAGATAATCATACATCTACGAAGGTATATCTTTCATATTTTGATAAACTCTTTCCTACCTTGTCATAATATATAGACAAAGTAAACAACGTAAGCGCGACACGCGCGCGAGTATCACACGCGCAAGTCAAAGTCTGGGCTGCCTATGCTCAGAGGCAAAAAACAAATGTATTCCCAAAGAAAGTAATCCGTTTGAAGAACAGAAACTGAGGACTAGCTCACTCAAACTCACGCTCACTGAGGGTGACAAAGTAATTGTGCCATCATTCATCAATGAGATATATCAATCTCGTTTCCACGGTTGTTCACGCCGTTTCAATTGTGAAATTCAATAAAAACCGCTACAAATCAGAAGCCAGGATTTCTGATTTGAGCCTTTGTTTGTTTCCTCGCCAGAGGAATCGCGGGCTCGGGGAACGAGATTGTGAGATATATATGTTATTTACCGACTGCGAGGTCGGGATAGAAAAATATTTTCCCTTTCCCCATGGCCTGTACCCATGGAAGCTTTTTCAACAGTCACATTGTTGTTATAAATTATAACGCTATGCAGGCCGTTATTCCGCTACTTGCACGCGTTTGAAACAAGGCGATATATAGGCTATAGACAAACCGGCCGGGCGCTTCGTAGTCCTGATTGGAAACACGTCCATCATCATGCACACAACACTACAGACACAGCGGTAAAACTGTCAAAGGAGAAGTGAACGTTTAAAAGATTCATCCGTTATGAAGAGTGAGTGTGCTTATCAGCATTGTGGTCACTAAAAAGGTTAGTGTTAGCTATAGTATAGCTAGATTTATATCTAATAACCTCCACTTTCGCGCGCAAACATGTATCATGCGAGGCGAAACTGTGAATGACCAGTTTTTCTTATAGAATTTAACGTATTAGCATAAATAACAGGGGGAGGGGGAACGTTATTTGATTTGCTGTACAATGAAAGCCATAAATGGAAGCGGCAAACCAGAACCTCTGAAGCTCAACAAATTCGGGAAACCGCTGTTTATAAGCTTCTGTATCAAAGAAAGAAAAATCGTGTATTCTTTTAAACCTAGCCTGGATAAAATGCAGTTGAAATATACGATTTGTTAAGCTCCAACGAAGACCAGGATAAAGATTATCTAGAGTCCTATAGACAGTGTCCTGCGTTTGGGAAAACCTAGCTGTCATAATTGCAATAAAATCACTTTGGCAGAGCATGTCTCATTTGTAAAAGGAAACAGAAAAGAATGACAATTCTCTTGATGTCCTAGAGAAAGAGTTATTTACTGGCACTGTTACTACAGTTGAAATGCCAACAAGGCAGTAAATCAACCAAGCTAGGCTGGAACAAAATCAACCAAGCTAGGCTGGGAAAAAAACACTCTGCGCAAGGTAAAGAGTTATCTTCTTATGGTGGATTACGAACTTGACTATAGAACCACCACCTTAAAGACTACCACCTCCAAGTCAGTTATTTGAAAAATGAAATTTCAGATAGCGAGACATGGTATCTTTGAAGAGTTCATCACAGATAATGGTCCTCGATCAGTTTAGAAGCCAGGGGCCAGTTGTTCAAAGCTAGGTTAGCACTAATCCTGGGTTAAATTTTAATCCAGTGTTTTAGCTTGCCTGGTTACCCAAAGAGTAACGGAATGGCAGAATGAGCTTTTCAAACCGCCAAATTAATTATGAAGAAGGCTAAGGAAGACGATACGGATCCTTAGTTGGGACTATTCAATTTCAGAAACACACCAAAAGATGTAACAATTGGTAGTCCGGTGCAAGAACGTACGGGAAGAAGAACGAAACCCTACCCTGTTGGAGTTGAACAGGCATACAGGTGTCTGAGGACGCTTGTTGGAGTTCCAACCCATGAATCCAGTTCACGTTCAGGAGCGTCTAGGGCAGAAAAATGGTTCAGCAGAAGAGGTTTTAGATAGAAGTGCGAGGCCACTGGACGTGTTGAAGAGAGCGGATGTTGTGCGTATTTAGACTGACCATTGACAAAGGATTTCGAAAGCAGGGACGGTTGTTGTGGAACGCTTACCACAGCCACGAGTAGTATTTGGACAAGTCGAACAAAGTTCAGTGTCGACGAAATATGAGTCACCTGTTAAAAACAAGTGAAAATTCGAAAGAGAAAAACAGATTCAGAACAAAAGAAAAGTCGCAGATTTATATCCACGCGATATGGACGTAGTTTGTCAAAACATCTAGCTTTTAAGATTCATCTATAGCTATGACTATGCAATTTGAGTATTAACTTTATTTATAGTGTATATGCATGCTTTTGGCTAGTTAGGAATTTCTTCTATCCAATGAACTGTTTGTTAAAGACAGAAAAAAAAATACCGAAAATAAAAGTATGTGAAACGTTTTGTAAGATTTTTGAGGAGTAAATACATCAAGCCTGGTATATTACAAAAGTTAAAGGGTGTCTCTAAATAAATGTCGCTACCACATGTAGTCATTTCAAACGAACGCTTATTATAATATGTGATGTTGGGCAGCGTGTGTTGATAGGTTTAGAGCACTAACGGTGCGTATAGTTGCTGTGACTGTTCACGTATTAAAGTACATAATGTGTTCCTTGACCCTGGGTCACGAATATCGTTAATGTGAAGTCTGAATTCTTTTCTATACCGCTTTTGAAGGACTTAGGTTAATAAATTAATTACAAATGAAACGAAGCTATTTTCCGCAGATATTAATCAGTATTGTAAGACAAGTTGAAAAATTGCACCGTGAAACAGGACCTTGAATTAATTCCTCCCATGCTTGCATGCACGTACAGGAAAGCAGTCTGATTTTTATTTTTAATGCGATTTAACACCTTATTCTGTCTCTTAAGCTACATCACTACATTGTTGGGCCATTTGTTATTTTAAGATATGTAGTAAATCAGACTCTGCAGTGTCAAACTTGACCATGAATATTGACTTCCTGGAAAAACGATAGGGGGGTTCGTGGTAAACAGTGGTGTTTTATTGCAAGTTGCTGTACAAGATTTGGCTGAAGTTTCAATTATCTAGCTGACGAACAGTCATATGTAACTTCATAGCGAGAGAAGCTGACTTCGGCAAATATACTATCACTATTATTACACGCCTAAAAACGCTCAGGTTGATGCAAGTTGATATAAACAGGATGGAGCAATGTTGTGCTGCCCACATTGTTGAAACTGAATCGGGTGTAACAATATTGTTCAATATTGATAACAACCCTGAACAATGTGGGCAGCACAACATTGCTCCATCCTGTTTGTATCAACTTGCATCAACCTGAGCGTTTCAGTTACGCGTGTAGCTGCACATGCGAAGCGGCTAATAAGCAGCGTTCTCACTTAATTTTGACTCAATCGAGGCATAGGGGAGGGGGGAATTCTCTTTTCAAATGTTCTTTGCCTCACGTTATTCAAAGCATCCTCGTTTAAATTATGAGAGTATTGGTTAAATAAAGAGTTTTTGAAATAAAATCAATAATATACGGAGCCGCTTAATTATTAACTTGCTTTGACCAAGAGCTGTTTTATTATAGTGATATATTGTGTAAGATACAGTAAACCGATTTGTTATTTTAGGAGCATCTCTTGTACTTGCACCTAATGACAGGTCGAGCCTGTAGGCCATGGTCATTGCTGGATTGGTCAATTTCTTGGTTGTCCATATATGGTTTTTAAACTGAAACATTTTTTGAAGTCAAATCTAATTTCGCCGTATTGACTTGTTGTATTGACGACATTCACAAGCAAGTGACATTCTAGCGCAAAAAGTACACAGCTCACAAGGAAGGTTAGTAGCTATACTTTATACTGCTATAAGAAAAAACATGCTCTTATGAACCCAATATTTGAGCTCAAGTCATTTTCCAACAGTTAACGTTCTTTACCCGTCGAGGTATGAGAATGGTAATATTTGGTAATATGTAATTCAAGGTATTCTCCAATTTTCAGGGCTGATTTTGATTACAATGGCAAGTTCAACTGTGGATACCGAAGATGGTCTGGCGACGATGTTTGATCCTAACCCAAATAGCTACAGTGCTCTATGTCAGGCACCATACATCATAGAAGGGATGGGTTATTTTCTACTAATCCCGGCAAAGCAGGATTTCAGTTTGATTAAGAGTACAGAATACAGTTATATCAAGTACAGAGATTCTTTCCGCGCATGTGCAGCCCAGCTCTCCAAAGGTGTCTGGGAATCGTTCCATACAGCACACAACTGTATGAAGCAAATTTATATGAAATCTGTTAACATTGATAAACACCTGGAGAAGGCAGCCGAAGTCATAAAAAGAGGTACTAAAGCCGAATTGATACTCGCTCAGTTTTATTTAGAGAAAACAGAAAAAAACTGCACAGAATGCGTCGAAATAGCTGCGTCCATTACGAAAGCGTTTGATACTGTCGGCAAAATGATGTCGGAGCTGAAACAGGCCTGCATTGTATCGAAGAAAAAATACGAAGATAAAGGACCTAAGATAATCAGTGAAGTAAAGGCATATAGGCAAGAACAGAGCTTCCAAAAAATACGTGAACAGAAGGGGGTACCTCACTTACAATTTCCTGCTGGAATGCTGCTTGCTCGTACTTTTGCAAGTCGTGCTAGATTTTTAGGGATTCCTAGTGCTTTGGTACGTGATATTATGCTCGTATATACATTTTTTTTAATTTGAGACCTAGCTGTTAACTTCTTCTCGTCGCAATAATTTTGCTAAAATTTTTTATGTTTTACTGCATTGTTATTTCAAATAAACAATATTGCCATGATATGAACTTGTCCTTTTCTTCTACACATTTATTCTTCAGACTTCAACAAACCAAACAGCCGAGGCGAGTTCCACATTGCCCGATCTGGGACCAAATTCATCAAATGAAAACGGGGTGAATGACCCCATTTCTCAAAAAACAAATAGCAAGAACAACGCCGAAATAAACTATGAGGTATAAAATCTTCCATGCTAATGTTAACATCATCATCCGGCTGAACTTGGAAATCTTAATTCCAACTAATAAAGTGCAGGGTGTAAAAATTTTGTAACAACGTCATGGAAAATAGTTGATGGAGGCTGGTTTCCAGTCAGGAAAATTGTTTTCTTGGCCGGATCAGACAGTATGGTTTCTTTTGTGCTCAGATCGAAACGTCTACATATTATACGGATCTCATATAATGCTCATTAGCCCAACGAACAATGTGGTCTAAATCCTGTTGAGTTATAATTATTATAATCAGAGTTGAGCACATAACGCTCAAATTTTTTCATTGGATTTCCCTCTAAGGAAAAACAAAAAATGTATAACAATTATGTTTTTGTATCTATTTAGGGAGAAGACGTATTGCTGGGACATTGCAGACGCTATAAATCGTTTTGTGATCAAATATTAGAAGAACCAAAGGAGTTGATGAGAGTTTTTGATGATCATGAAAAACGTCAAAGTAACCTCGACGAATTGGATCGAATGCTACTTACTCTTGACAAATGTATCAATGCGTTAAATCGGTTACTAAAACATTGGAAGGAAATCACAAACATGTTTTATTTTTTTCATGTTATGCTCGAAGAAAATCTTAAAGAAGACGGGCGACGTTTTGGCGTTTTGGTTGTAACTGCAGAAATTGAGTCGCAGTGGCTTATTAGGGACTACAAAAAAAACGAGCAAATTGCTCAACAGATGAAACGTATTTCTAGTCTATACGTTAAAATTTCGGAAACGTATTTACTAGATGGATTGATTCATCTGCAACGTATTGATAGTTTGGAACCAAGCACAGACCGGGAAAAGATGGAAGAAATAAAAAAAGAATTACAAGATGACCAGAGAAGAGCAAGAAGTGGCATCTTAGCACTTAAAGAAATGGAAGAAAATTGCGAGAGAGATTTGCAGGAGATTGACTCATCTGATTTTCACAATAGTTAGTAACTCACAGCTCACGTCACGATATTTAACGTCGCACTTATATTTCACTTTGCACTGAACGTAGCAATGTTAAAACTAGACAGAATGAAAACAATTACTCATCCAAAATAAACTTAAATGGTATAATTATAAAATACAAACAATCTTCTCTCCATAGGTCAAAGGAGAGCAAATATTCATAGTGCACGTGTGTAATGTAGGAGCTATTAGGTCTAAAAGATAACCCTAAAACATAACAAAATCATATATCTATAGTGGAACTCATGTATCGAAATCATGTATGTGCCTTTAATTAGCGAAATCTTAGTGTCGTTTCTTAACATTCACTGCATGGTCAGTGATTTTCTCGCCACGTTTAAAACAGGCATAAAGAATTGTTTGCCTGATAAGACAACGGATTTTATATTATTTAATCATAATTTCTCTATGACTATGTCGACGTGATCAAAATGACACGATTAAAACAGGCCTAACCGGCGAATTTGTTGCCTGCATGGTAAGACAACGATATCGATCTCAGTAGTTGCAAAAATCTAGTAGTAGTAATATTGTTTTTATGTTATTTACATTGGTATTTTCTTTAGAATAAACTAGATGTTGAACGATATAATTGCCATATTATATTTGTTTAATTTCTGCTAAATAGATAACGGGTTCTTAATGTTGAGTATAAAGTACGAATATTCAATCATTTCAATAGTTACGGTTGCGTTCATGAGTTTTCACTACGACGGTTAGTCGTTTAATAGCATATGGTTTTGAGACAAACTCTCAAAGTAATGCCGAGTTCATTCTATTATATTAATAAATGATCGTTCTTATCTTCAAAGCTATAATGTACTTTATGTTAAATTTGAACTGTATAGCTCGGCTTTAAAGCAAAGCAAAGCACACTACATATTGATGAGATAATATATTATAAACTGATAAAACCAGAATAACCAGATAAAACGAAATAACAACGTATTTGACAAAAGTCACATGATCCAAAACTGATCTATAGATGAAACAGTATTACAGTTCCTTTTTCGTATTTAATAATCTTCAACACTTTACTATCTCTGAAAGCAAACCAGGCAGGAAAAGGTTCTGGGCTGTAATTAATGATATCATTATATATCGATCTATCTCATATTTGCAACAATCTGGTAACATTGTTATTTACATTGCCATGGTATCGCGTCGTATCGATGCCTCTTGCTTTAGAATAAACTACAGATGTATATCAACGATATAATTGCCATATTATTTGTTTAATTTCTACCTAAGACAAGAATATTTCATTTCCTCATACATGCAGTGGAGTTGCGTGAGTTTTCATTACGACGGTTAGTCGTTTAATCAACGAAATCTTATAAGATATAGTGTCGTTTCTTAACATTCACTGCATGGTCAGTGATTTTCTCATATTTGGCATAGATGCTTCACAGTATCACGCGGAGTTTTACAGTTTCTAGGTTTTTATACCAATTGTTGCCGCAGCAGGCGATCGAGCAAGGCAGCAGATCCTAATTTACAATTGCATTACGGTACCAGTGATGGAGGCGGCGCAACAAATTTTTTTTGGGGGGGGGGAGATGGGTCGCTATATACTTATGGGGTCGTCTGTTCTTTATACGGCGTATCGGTTGTAGTGTGGTTCAAAATTAATCTCTAACACAATCTCATTATAATACAATGCGTCAAAGAAAATTTTTACTTTTACCCTCAATATTAATTAGGATAGCATAAACGTGAAATGGTATGATCCTCAAAAATATATGAAGAGTTTAAGCGAATATGTAACATTTGTAGCGTTTTACACTTGTTGCATTTTCAATTTCAGAACAATTTTGTAATGGAAGGATCCTTTTCTAATGCCGGACAAGAAGCACAGAATGTGGAGAAAGGTGTTTTTGAGGCTAGTTTAGCTTATGAAAAACTGCCTCAAAGTCGTAAAATTAATTTCAGAGTTAGCACCACAAATATACGCGTGACAAAGGAATTGTGTAAACTTACTGGATACGTTGCCGTCGGAGGAGTGATTTCACTGGCTGCTTTGTACGGCTACGCCAAGATACAACCATTACTTCAAAATTCTATTAATAATACCTTCGATGCAGAAAATGTTGAAAGGATCATGCCAAATTGTCTACTTGTTTTAATTTGTTGTCCAACAGATAAAATATTTATTAAAATTCTTGAAAATTACGAATCAGGAAAAATAACCCAAGGTTTGGAATATGAGTTTTTGGAGATTGGAATTGAGGTGGAAGGATTGATGATTAAAATTGAGAACATCGAAGAAGTGAGCAAAACAAAGGAAGAAATATACAAAACGAGGTATGATTGAATACAACGAGTACAAAAATTAAGTTATTGATAACAATTTGAAAGAAAATTATCAATTTGTGATTTTTCGCTTCGTATAGAAAAGCTGACACAATGACAAAAGGTGAAGAAAAAACAACGAAGGAAAGAGATTCGTGTGCTGCAGGTGATGATGAGCGAAAATTGCCTACCAGCAAAGATGAAGGTATGTACAATTCAAAAATTATTTAGAGACTCGAAAAAAAGCAAGAGACCAGTTTCGAGTTACGTCAAACCCATAACCCCCCTAAATCCTTTAACACCCCCATGCTACTCATTATAAGAATGCATGGATAGGCAGACGATTTTTGTATATCCTGCAAATGTTGCTTGAAGAAACTTGAGAAGTTTCAAAGATTAGTTAACAATCCATCGTGGTATCCAGCGCAAGATGGTCTGGAGATCACTGGGAGGTTGCAAATTTTTCATGCTTGGATCCAATCGTAATAGGAAAGATGCGAAATCCACGGACCTGCCGCCTCTTCTTAGTGTTCTTGAGTGGATGACGCACGAAGCATTTCTAGGAAGCACGCGAGTAAATATCTAACCCATGTGTCCTGCCTTTTTTGTCGTGTGGCGCCTTTTTTATGTAATCGCTCCTTCACTCACGAACCTGGCCAATAAATGATCTTGTTTTATTATATCTGCAACCAGTTTGCCGTCAAAATAATCAGAATTGATAGATTGATGAGTGATGTTCTCCAATTTTCAGATACTGAAGTTGGTCTGACGACGATGTTTGATCCTAACCCAAATAGCTACAATGCATTATGTCAGGCAACATACATCATAGAAGCGATGGGCCATTTTCTACTAATCTCGGCCGAACAGGATTTCAGTTTGAGTAAAAATACAGAATACAGTTATATCAAGTACAAAGATTCTTTCCGCGCATGCGCAGCCCAAGTATCCAAAGGTGTCTGGGAATCGTTCCATACAGCACACAACTGTATGAAGCAAATTCATATGAAATCTGTTAACATTGATAAACACCTGGAGAAAGCAGCCGAAGTCATAGAAAAAGGTACTAAAGTCGAATTGATACTCGCCCAGTTATATTTACAGAAAGCAGAAGTAAACTGCTCAGAATGCGCCGATACAGCTAGGTCCATTACCAAAGCGTTTGATACTGTCGCCAAGATGATGTCGGAGCTGAAACAGGCCTTGATGGAATCGAAGAAAAACTACAAAGATGAAAAACAGGAAACCAACCAAAAAGTTCAGGCACTTAACAAAGAGCAAAAGCACAGAAAACATGAAAAAGAAGAGGCAAAAAAAAGATTTGAACAGAAAAAGAGAGAACTTGAAGAAGCTGACAGAAATTATGTCAAAGCAATGGACTCTTTTCCATCATCTTTAAAAATAATGCTCTTTCGAAGCATTGATGGTGTAGCAGACGTTAGTTATGACTACCTGATCCAACTTTTACCACAACTTGTGATGGGAAAATTTATTGCGACGGTCCCGGTATGTATACTATTACTGATTTACATGTATAGCGCTTTTTTGAAAACTGCACGCTAATTTTATGCGGCAGTTCTTCAGCGCTATAAGCGCTACCCCCGGGTAAATATTACTTTGCTATTTTGGCTTATGCGCTTCTTGTAACCGCTGTTCGTTTTAAAAAGTCTTTTATCGGTCCAGAAAATATTTTTGGAAATAAATATTCAAGTATTTTTGTTTGCGAGTGCTTCACCAATTTCACAATTGCAAAACTTTTTATGGTAACGAGCAAACGTTTCAGCAATTGAACAAATATTATCATTTTTGATTGTGCTTTCAAGAAAAAATTTGGTTGTTTCGTCCAGTCTTTTAGTGCTTTTCGTGCCCTATTTCTTCACTATGTCAAGACTGACATCTTTCGCATCAGTCCTCAAAATAAAAAATCTAAAGTCGGAGACTTCTTTAGGCGATATCTTCTTTTATAGTAAATATTTCTTCTTCAGCCTGCAACCAACCAAACAGCCCAAGAGAGTTCCACTTTGGCGGTGCCGACAACGTCCGTTGGGCAACCAAACTCATCAAGTGAAAATATGAGTATTCAATCACAAAGAACAGAAATATCTTTAACTCGAACGATGCTGGATAACGCTAGAAAAATTCAGGTATGAAGTCCCGCATACAAAATACTATTTTAATTCAGCTTCCCAAATGTATGCGAGTGTCCACCTTCTAAAGAATGCAGCAAACGCGATGTCAGGCCATATTAGGGAAGAGAATTATAATGTCTAGGAATTGGCTGTTCTTTGGCCTCCGGTTTACTTTCATTTTGATACTCGCTGCTCGTTGTTGTTCTTGGCTTCGCCTCGGGCAACAACGGCGGTCTCGGGTCAACAAAACACACTACTTTCCCTTGGTATCATGCAGTAAATAAGTGTTAATTATTATATACCACTTGTCAAAGTTTGGTGTTCGTAGCAGTTCATTGGTTGAGCGCGAATCACGTGAGACTGCAGAAATTTTGATGTCGCCAGCGCGACCCCCCAGATAACCTGCGTGCATGAAGCGGACGGCAATGGAAAATCGCCTTATAAACCTGGGCAAGTGAAATATAGTTCATCTTCTGCTCTGCTTGTCTACATGGTTTGTTGTGAGTTATACTTAGACAAATGATCTGTCAGACGGATCATTCGTGCAGATAGATAATCCGTCTTTAGTATAAATCGGGTCAATAGCGAACAAATGGCGTCTATATATGGATCCGCTTATACATGGACATCCCACGCAATTTACTCGCCATTTTCACGTCGTCTTGACGTTAACGTTTTCATGCTAAATCTGCCTTGAGCACCGAGGACGCTCTGTATCAAAGTTAATACATATAGTTGCTGTCATAAATTGGCGATGAAAAAGATCTGTATGGGATTTACAATCACTTGTGCTATACGTGCTCTTCTACCTCGATACTCTCTCTTTCGTTCATCATGCGCCGTAAAACTTTAGTTTACAAACCATGCAATAATGATCATTACGTACCTTTTTAGGCAGAGGCAAAAGAATTTTTGCAGAAACGTTACGAAAGCTATGAACTTTGTTATAATGAAATTTCTGAACAGTCGAAAAAAATGGGAGAAGTCCTGCAGGAGCTTGCAAAGTTTACTCAAAAGGACCTCGACCTGGATCAAATTCAAGAAGCTCTTCGCAAAAGTATGGATGCAATATGTGTCGTAATAGAACATTGGCGAGAACTTCAGGGCATCTTTCAAGTGTTTAATAATGCAATTAAAGAACGCCTTAAAGCAGACGTGGGACGTTTCGAGAGTGTAACTGCTGTAGCGAAAAATTTACCTGAGGATATTTCGAAAACTTCAATTACGTTCCAGATGCTCATTAGAGAGTCCGTAGAAGCCAAAAAAATAGCTCGTGTGGTGATGAGTAAGTCTAGTCTCTACGTTAAAATTTCGGAAACGTATTTACTAGATGGATTGATTCTTCTGCAACGTATTGATAGTTTGGAACCGAGCACACACCGGGAAAAGATGGATGAAATTAGAAAAAAATTACAAAATGGTCAGAAAAAAGCAAGAGATGGTATCATAGCACTTGCTGAAGAAAATAAAAGAAAATTAGGAGAGAGCATAAAAAATCTGATGGTGTCAACTGATGATCTGGAAGAGTTGTGTGGGTGGAAATCAAAATAAAGCAAATGTCATGACTCTAGAAAAATAATTAAACGCTGCACTGATATGTAATAACCGCGTACCGAAGTAACTAGACATTTTAATTACTTTCATTAGTGTTCATTAATTACGTTCTCCTGGAAATAAAAGCTTCATATCCGTTATTGCTGGTAGAGGAGGCAAGAATACTGATAGAAAATACTCAATGTTATATATAGGGAACAGTAATGTAACAATGTTATATATATATAGGGAACAGTAAATATAGTGATATTAGCGTTGTGTCAATAGATAATTGTGACATTTCGACCATATAACTTGAACGAACCCGAAATATACAAGTATACAAATCAAGTTATTTACTTGTCCAAATTAAAATATTGGTATCTCATTTTTGTCATTCGCACTTTTTATTGACTTCTTCATATTGCCTATAACTTGAAACAGTAATTTTTTTAAGAAAAATATATAAAATAGAACAAGATGGTGCTATTGCTTTATAGAACTCCATGTATATGGAAAGATGGTCTTACATCTAGTTTTCTCTTTGACCAATTTCTTTAATTTATCATTTCGCCTAAAAATTCATTAATGCGTTTCCATGTCCTTCGTAAGCTTCCAACCAAAGTCTTCCTTTTATCACGACCTCGTAAAGGGTGGAACGGTTTGGCCAGCAACTTGAACGGTAATGACAAATCTTTACAAATTTATCACGGCACCCCAGGGTATGTTTATGAGCATCAACTCCCCATTTTGCCAGCGGTTTTGGTGACGAACAAACCACCTGTAATATCCGGTTAGTTATCACAGATAATACGTATACATGCTTTTAATTTAAAGACTAATAGCTATACATGAATTTTGAATTTTGAACATCGACTTCTCACTATGTAAACCTTCAGTGGTTATCCAGAATACCATAACATGACGACCTTAAAGCCTAATTCGTCTTCAGAAAAAACCGATTTACAAGAGGACTTAGGTTTAGAAACAAGCAATTTCATTGGGTGCCTAAAAAACTGGTCCACTTCAGTCGTATAACATTCGCGCAGCTTCGTAAAAAAATTCATCCCAAAACCTACCATATTTTGCAACTGAGCCTGAAATATACTGCTATCAGCGGCCTTCAAATATATTCTCACACGATATTGATGGCCATTATTCGTGTTGAGCGAAACTTCAACTTTTGTGTCACCTTGTGGTTCTATCCACTGAACTCGCCCAGGAAAGTACTTTTCTAAAATATTTTTTCCATCGCCAGACGATTCTGCTGGCCAGGTGTCCAAGACATTATTAGTAAAACTCGCGTGGTCTTCCACTAACGATGAGGCAAAATATTACAGCCCTCTTTGCATCAACAACAGATGAAAGTGCTAACATCATTACCACATTTGGCTGAATTTTCAATGGTGTATTTTTCACATGCAGTCAAGTAATATAGACCTATAATGCAGGTAAACCATGAAACTTATGATGCATTACTTTTGGACCAATCTATTTTATTGCATGTGTGAGCTTCGTATTGAGCAAGCTACCATCTTGTTGTGATATACACATGGAATTAATAACTAACTATACCAATTTTCTTGCGCAGCTGTTTCTAGCAACACCCTAATTGTGACCGTTTCCTCGTGCGATTTAACCGCTTGTTATATACCGCAATTGTCGCCAAAGGGAATAGCATTATATCGACAATACATCGTCCCTTTCTACCATTGTACCACTTGAGGCTTCATCAGACCCCTATTATAATCAATGTGAATCACTTGTACTGATATCTTAAACTGCAAAGCTCATTTTTAAGAAATTTAATTTTACTCTGTATCTCTTTAGTCTATGCTATCTCGACCAGATATTCACTAAGGCAGAGACCTGTCTCCAAATATGCCTCGTACGCCTCCAACCACAAACTTGCTTTCATCACGACTTTATACAGAGTTTCATGGTCAGTCCAGTGATTCATAGGAATGAGAAATCATTAACAGGTTATCACGATAACCCAAGGTATGCTTATAAGCATCACATCCCCATGGAGGTATTGGCCTGAGTGATGAACATACCACATAAAGATTAAGTGTACTTAACACGAGTACTGAACTCGACCACGACAGTATTTTACTCGTATTCGATCCAAAAACAAAAAAACTACTCGCAATGACACCGGAACAAGCCGCTGATAAATTCATTGGAGTTGATATGGCTCGTGAAGGATTCTTCATCGGTTCATCCTTTGTCTATGACAGCAGACTGGAGTATTACATTCAGAACATGAGTAAAATTGAACCGCTGTTTAAAAAAAGCTATATACAAAATATATATACTTTGTTAGTTAGGCTAGGTTTAACTTCGTATAGTCTATAGCTACATATCTTTAGTCTTCAATTGTATATACCACTGATCTAACATGCACGATTATTATAGTTTTATAGCCCATGGGCTAAAATATGACGATGTTCCTTGCTTCTAATAGAGGTTAAGAGTTACAATCGTTTGTAAAATGTTATCTACCGACTATTGTAGTTGCTTGTACTGCTGATAGTTCAGATACTATGCTATAAAGGGATATAAAAACGAAATTAATTATTTGTTTAACGACAGCAGGGTGTATAAACTATAAACTGTGCTTAAACTATAAACTATAGCAGTTTCTACTATGATTTATTTAACAATCAATTTCTTGTGATCTATAAATTAGCATCTTTCTTGTGATATATGTATTTAAACTAGCACCGTCTTGTGCATGATGTCAGTTTGTAAATTATCTGCGGTGCAAATTTGTGTGCAAGAAGCGAGATATTTCGTAAGTGTTACTGCTTTATAAAACTTTATGTATATGGAAAGATATCTTATATCTAGTGTCCCTCTTTGACCATTTTCTCTAATTTAACATCTCGCCAAGAAATTCACTAAGGCGTTTCCCTGTCCTCAAATGTCCCTCGTAAGCCTCCAACCAAATTCTTCCTTTCACCGCGACCTCGTAAAGAGTGGAGTGGTCAGTCCAACAACTTCCACGGTAATGACAAATCTTTACAAAGTTATCGCGGTACCCCAGGGTATGGTTATAAGCATCAACTCCCCACTTTGGCATCGGTTTTGGTGAGGAACAAACTACCTGCAAAGGTTAGTTATGACAGCTAGTACTTCGTGATTTATTGTTACGAAATCAGTCTTGTCCTTACGGCATGTTTGACACAACCGGTGACGCGCTAAGTACACGAATTTATCTATAACCGTATGAACGGTAGTAATTTATCTATAACCGTATGATGTACGTAGTATAGACATTCGAAAAAGAGCAAGAGGCCTTTTTTGAGTTACGAGAAAACGAGACCATAGCCAGATTTTCTTCGCTGCATTTTAAAGTCATTTGTTTATTCTCATACTTTTATGCTGGACCTGTTACAAGCTACACAAAAGCGTCAAGGATCAAAGCATCTTAGCATCTTCTAGTTTCAAACGATATCAAATTACCATGCAGTCATATATGAAACATATAATACTGCAAGACCATTGGAACAAAATATATATCCCATATTATAAATAGATATATGCAGCTACGTGCGAGCAATGTACACCCAAGCAGTTAACTGATGATCGACTTCTCATTCAGAATAAAATGTATTTGCAAGAAGACGAAATGGGGTTATTTTATTCGCTTAGAAACAAGCTGTTCAATTTCATTGGCTGCTCAGTCAAAATAGGTCCACTTCAGACGTATAGCATTCGTGTAACTTCGTAAGAAATCAACCCAAAACCTACCATATATGCCACAGAATTTGGGAAGTCTGAAGTACTTCCATCAGCGGCCTTCAAATATATTCTCACGCGGTATTGATGACCATTATTCGTGTTGAGCGAAACTTCAACTTTTGTGTCACCTTGTGGTTCTATCCACTGAACTCGCCCAGGAAAGTACTTTTCTAAAATATTTTTTTCCATCGCCAGACGATTTCGCTGGCCAGGTGTCCAAGGCATTATTCGTATAACTCGCGTGGTCTTTAACTAACGATAAGGCAAAATATTATAGCCCTCTTTGCATCAACAGCAGATCAAAGCGCAAAGCGCTAGCATTTACTTTCACAATTTCATACAGAAAACGTATCCGGACTTCCAGGAAAAACCACAGGGGGGTTCGTGGTAAACAGTGGTGTTTTATTGCAACTTGTTGTAACTCAGCTTCAGCTGAAATTCTCCACCATTCTAATGATTGTGCGCTCAATTTTATACTAGACTTCGCTGTCGCTGAAGTTTTAACAAGACGCCTGTTCTGGCGTTAACTCCGGCGCACGTGCCAGTCTTCAATATAGAGCTTCTGAACATAAACAATACAGTTCATATTCGCATTTAGATGCCTTGCGAACCTAAATGTTCGATCGCGAAATTCAGAAGCACATCGTACTTTAAAAAGTATAGAAGTTAAATCGTTCAATAATGTAAATAAACGGTATGATACATTCGCTTTGTCTTACACTTTGCCTTTGGAATTCGCGCTTATATAGTTATATTAAATCTTCAATCCTGTGCAAACTACGACGAGTCAAAGCGCCCATACACGACCACATCATCTTGTTAAACGGCGAAATAGCAGCGATATTACTAAAATAGGACCAGAATCTACACGTATTAAATATATTCTTACCCCAATTCAGTCTAAACTTAATCGAAAAGCATGAAAAGAACGGTTTATTTGTTCCTCTTGGAGGAATTGCCGTATCATGCGAGCGAAATCGAATCGCGCATCGGAAAATTAGCTAAAGCTGTGCACCACAACTCTTGGGAGACAAGACTGGGACATAGATAAATCCAATCATATACACATTTTAAATACTAGAATGTTTCGCGCCATTACAGACTTGCGACGATGAAAAATAATTAAAAAAAAATAAAAAAAAAAAAACAAAAACAAAACAAAACCGAGGCGAATTTTCAACTCCGTCGCTGACGCCGGAGTAATGAGAGAGAACTCGGAAGCTATAACTACAAGGAGATCACCATTTAGTTTATATGACTATAGTACAACAAACTTTCGAGTGTCGACCTTCCACCAAAAATGTGATGTTTTTGTCATGGTACATTTTAACGACTAATTGCAGATAAATTCCGGGTAATAACTTCACGGATTCCAAGAATAACTGAGGTTCAAAAAGTATGCAAATTTATTAAAGTGAAACTAAACAAATACTTATAATTTTTATGCGACAATTTTGTTCATATAAAATATAGTAACGGAATAAATATCTAGTGTATTATGAAATAAAGTAAGGGCTTGTAAGGCAGGTTCACAGGGAACGTGAAGCTCGTCTTTATAAACACATATACAAGTGTGTTTAACACATACAACTCAATTGTTTACGAGAAAATTTATGCATTAGTTAGCAGCCATAACAACAGCAAACAGCTAGTCTGTTTTTTATTATGCGTGCCTTCATTACGCCAGGATTATTTCATCCGTTGTATAAACCATCAACCATGTCTATTAAATCTGAAACAACTTAGTTGCATGTAATTTAATCTTTAATATACACAAATATACAATGGCGTATGGACCTCACGGTGACATTAAAGCTATTTCAGTTGCTGGTGAGGAAAGCGAACACATGATGATGTTTTTTAACATCGCTAAAGGAAAGATTGATTTTCTTCCTGCAGAAACTAAGATGGTCTTTGACACTGAAACTGGGGAGCTGTTTACCGTCGTTTCAGGAAATAAAAATATTCATCTCAGCAACGACGAGAAGCTCCTTCACGAACCGAATACACAGACAGATAAACTAGAAAAGCCGGGTAAAAATATAGAGGAATGTTTTGATATTTACAACAGTGATGAAGATGAGATTAAAGAGATTCTTCGCCAACCAAAGCCAAAGGCAAATACGAGAACAGCTGGAATTGAGAAACTAGAAGAAAATATAAATGAGTGTGCAGCAGCTGTTCACGACAACGATGAGGAAATACCTCGCGTACCAAATACAAGAGCATGTGAACTTGAGAAACCGAAGGAAGATATGACAGATTGTGCAGGCATTGACAACAAGGACGAGAGGAACTTTCACGTAGGAAAGACAACAGCAAATGTACGAGCGAAAGCAACAGAAAGACGGGTCTTGGTTCTCGCTGCAGGAGAGAAGGAATTCAATGTTGACAACCAGATTTATCTGGGCATGGCAGAGGATGGATTTTATTCTAAGACTGAGTTTTCTCAAACTAACTGCAGCAAATAAGGCCTGATTTAGAACGTAGAAGACCGTACTTATCGCCATGGAAGTCGAACGATCTAGATTGCAATGAAACTCTTGAGCGCTGTATTGTAAATTGCCACAATTGTAAATATGTAGTTCAAATTTACTTATATCTGCACTGTCTTCGCTGATAATGAAGGGGGAAATGACTTCAGCTCCGAAAAATCCCGACACTTTGTCGGCTGAGCCTGCGATCTTTTGAGACTGAGTTTCGCATTATTATTATCATTATTATTATTATTATCATTATTATTATACTTCGTCTCCAGGGCTACTCGATTTTCAGCCGGTGTATAGCGCTGATTTAGTCATAACGTAAGGAACGAGAAATGCACATACCCTATCCCTGACACAAGAATACGAACGTGAAGTTTACACAAAGACGAAAGAGTGGAAAGATAAAAGCTTACCAAGTTTGATATATCAATAAAGAACTTTAATAGTAAAAAAACATTTGAGTTATGCCCTGGAGTGAAGCTCAGAGGAAGCGGTTAGCCGCTGAAAAGACCGTACTGGATCATTACTTTCCCGGCTGTGTGAAATGGATTGATCCAACTGGCGATACGAAAGTAGAAGTAAAAATGAAACAAACAACGACAACCAGTACACTCTCAGGGTTCACATGCATCGGTGGTTTTCCAAATTCAGTTCCTGATATGGTCGTGGTGTCCTCACCAAAACCAATGCCTATATAATTGGGAATTAAGCAATGAAAATCACACTTTAAAGAAACGTGACGGGTACCTCAGAATTTGCCAGTATCACTCCAGCCAGTGGACGGATCGTTCGTCGCTGTATGAAGTCATTATGAAAGGAAGAGTTTGGCTCGAAGCCTACGAAGGCCATTTGAGAACAACAAGACCTATGAATTTAAAATTTAACCCTGGGTTGAGCACTTTTAACCCTGGGTTAGCGTTAACCTGCTTTTGAACAACCGGCCCCAGAGCTTTAAGTAACATGACCCTAATCAGTAATTAACCCTTAGTTTATAATACCGTTTTATATCAAGTACCCTCTGTTATTCAAATACATCCGCGTTACGAAGTTACTGCGTGCGCTCTCAAAGAACGCCCATGATGTAGTCAGACCCGGGTTTGATAAGTCGAAAAAGCCAAGTATAAACGGTGTATCGTCCTGCATAATACCGAAAATACGAGTTGAAATGAGTCGCCCAACTAAACGTTCTCAAGATCCAAAAGTTGTCCAAGATAAGCTTAATGAGATAGCTTTCAATCCAAGTGATGGAAAGTGGGGGAATTCAGACAGAGAACAAATGGCGTTTGATAAAAACACTGGCAAGTTGACAGTAACCTCAAATACGGCAAATCCTGATAACAACATCGCATTATCTCTTGTTGCTGCGGGGTTTTTTTGCCGAATGAAGTTGATGAAGATTGAAGATGCAGTCAATTATCAAACCATGGAACAGTAAAAACTAATGCTTTCTTTAATAATAAAATCGCACAGTGACATAGCTATGTTTCCGACGTTAGCACATGAACGGTAACTTGGGGGTCGTACTTCTTCACCTGTATTTGCTATAAGATATACGAGATATAGTATATATAGTCTATAACTACATATCTTTCAATTGTATATACATCTGATATAACACGATTATTATAGTTTTATAGCCCATGGGCTAAAATATGACGATGTTCCTTGCTTCTAATAGAGTTACAATCGTTTGTAAAATTTTATCTACTGACTGTTGTAGTTGCTTGTACTGCTGATAGTTCAGATACTATGCTATAAAGCGATATAAAAACGAAATTAATTATGGCAACACAGACACATTGATGCAGTATCACTTTCACTTTGCATGGGATTGAATATGAAATATTTTGCAAAAGCTGCATGCATGGTAATGACTTATCTCGACGAGAGCTATTAAACTGTCGCTGTTTTTGACTTTTTGCAATACAAAATACCGCCTTAGTTTAAAAGTATATCGCCTCATTTATTGATTAATGTCTATCTATAAGCTAAATCACGTTTTTATACCGCAATACCCAAATATTTAAACAGGACAGGCTTTCTAAGAACAAAAGAACGAGACCTTTTCTTGGAATAATTATTATTCAGGTAAGGATCATATAAATACAATAAAAAATAAATAAATCGCTATCGGAGACTCGGAGTCTTTCACTCTCGAGAAAAAGGCTAGACGTCAATATATATTTAAGTTCTTTAGTTCCGAGTGGGGTCAATCAGTGGCCACTCACGTAAATTAGCTTGTAGGTACATCACTTAAGTATTTAATACTACAAAGCTTTCGGTCCGATCCCTCATCTCCAATTGCACTGATGAAGGCCCAGGTTAACCGTTACAGGAACGAAAGCTTTGCAGTATTAAATACTTACATGATGTACCTACAACCTAATTTACTTATTTGATGTCACCATGCAAACTTACAACATTCAACAATATTATTCCATGGATATACTTCGTTACTATAAGTATATATAAATTTATCAGTATTCTAAGCCTTAAAATCTAGCCATTCATTTCACGAAGAAAGTAGTTCATTGGCTGCCTTGTTCTCAAATGGCCTTCGTAAGCTTCGAGCCAAACTCTTCCTTTCATAACCACTTCATACAGCGACGAACGATCCGTCCACTGACTTCTGTGATAGTGGCATATTGTTAAAAACCCGTCTCTTCTCGTTAAAATGTGATTGGAGTAACTACCGCCCCAATCAGGCATCGGATTGGGCGAAGAAACAACGACCATATCAGGAACTGAATTTGGATAATCGCCGATGTAAATCCTCAGAGTGTATTCGTTGTCGTCGTTCGTTTTCAACTTTCACTTCCACCTTTGTATCGCCCATAGGGTCGATCCATTTCACACAACCAGGAAAGAAATGATCCAGCACGCTTTTCTCTGCTGCTAAACGTTTCCTTTGAACTTCATTCCAAGGCATGTTTTGATCCCAGAAATAAAAAAGATGAAGAAACACTCTTTGGTAAGGCTTTAGCTCGTACACAGCAGGGGTCTTTCAACATTTCCTAATTCTCAGTATTCGTTTTCCTGGAATCAAACCAACGAATCAACATCCAGGTCTCTCGGATATGAATAAGCGCGTAGCTATCAGTTACACCAAATAACCGTAATAAATTCACGAGTATAAGATCTGAGTACTAAAGGTTTGTAGCATGATTAAAAAATTCGAACAATATTTAATAAACAATAAATATGTAGTGGTAAAATTCTAAAGGATGCATGCATGAACACTGCAAGTCTTATAGACAATAGCCTGCATGGCTACGACGCTGAGGTTTTTAATTTATCCTATTTCTGGGAAAAAGCGTATCAGCAACTTCCAAATATGCATATACCATCGTACGTAGCAACACAAATAAACCGAAACCAAATTAGGAAAGAGCGCGTTACATATTGATCCTTGTATCAAAAAATATTCAAGTTATGCCCTGGAGTGAAGCTCAGAGGAAGCGGTTAGCCGCTGAAAAGACCGTACTGGATCATTACTTTCCCGGCTGCGTGAAGTGGATCGATCCAACTGGCGATACGAAAGTGGAAGTGAGGTTGAACACAAACAACGACAACCAGTACACTCTCAGGGTTTACATCGGTGATTTTCCAAATTCAGTCCCTGATATGGTCGTTGTGTCCTCGCCTAATCCGATGCCTGGTTGGGGCGGTAGTTACTCCAATCACACTTTAACGAGAAGAGACGGGTATTTGAGAATCTGCCACTATCACAAAAGTCAGTGGAGCGATCGTTCGTCGCTGTATGAAGTGGTTATGAAAGGAAGAGTTTGGCTCGAAGCCTACGAAGGTCATTTGAGAACAGGCCAGTCTATGAGTTACTTCCTTCGGGAAATGGGCAGTAGTGGAAGTTCGCCATCTTCGCCAGAAAGTTCCGTGTCGAGACGACCCAGTGGAACAGAGAGTAGTTGTGTGTGTCAGTGAGATGAATCGTGAACAATTTTAGGAGACTGCAGTGCATTTGCGAGAGCCAACTGTTTTGCCTTCGAGGCAAAATGTGCACAAATAATTTAAAGATAGTAGCATCATCACAATATTCATTTCATTTAAAGATATTGTGGACTCGAAGCTGCATACAATATAGAACATTGATATCTAAATATGGTTATACTATGTATATAGTTGCGTTGACAACAATGTCGATTCCACATGCAATTGGGGTTATATCTTTGGTTTAGTTCGGGTTGCATGGCATGAATATCACTTATTTTATATGTCTCGAGTCTAAATTTAAAGACCTTATCTTGATTTCTCATTTGAAAGTTCCATTTATTTAGTGCACAAAAATGGTCTCAATGAATAAGTGGAAACAAAGTTATTGATAGAAGTTTATAAAAGTGTCTGAAATGTCCAAGGCATTATTAGTAAAACCCGCGTGGTCTTTAACTAACGATAAGGCAAAATATTATCAGCCCTCTTTGCATCAACAGCAGATCAAAGCGCTAACATTTACTTTCACTACTTTATACAGGAAACGGATCCGGATTCGTCGTAAAAAGTGGTGTTTTATTGCAACTTGCTGTAACTCAGCTTCAGCTCAAATTGTCCACCATTCTAATAAGTGTGCGCTCAATTTTATACTAGATTTGGCTGAAGTTTTAATGAGAGAGAACTCGGAAGCTATAACTACATAGAGATCACCATTTAGTTATGACTACAGCACAATAAAATTTCGAGTTTCGACCTTCCACCAAAAAAGTGATTTCTTTGTCATGGGTACATTTTAACGACTAGTCGACTATTCGCAGATAAATTCTGAGTAATAACTTCACGGATTCCAAGAATAACTGAGGTTCAAAAGTGAAATTAAAGTGAAACTAAACAAATACTTATAATTTTTATGCGACAATTTTGTTCATATAAAATATACTAATGGAATAAATATCTAGTGTATTATGAAATAAAGTAAGGGCTTGTAAGGCAGGTTCACAGGGAACATGAAGCTCGTCTGCATAAACACATACAAGTGTTTTAAACACACACAACTCACTTGTTTACGAGAAAATTTACGCATTAGCTAGTAGCCATAACAACAGCCAACAGCTAGTCTGTTTACTATTCTGTGCCTTCTTCACGCCAGGATATATTTCATCCGTTGTAAACCATGTCTATTAAACCTGAAACAACAGTTAGTTGCAGCACTTGCATGTAATTTAATCGTTAATATACACAACTACATGCAATGGCGTATAAACCTCACGGTGACATTAAAGCTATTCCAGTTTCTGTTTTTTAAAATAAAAATACTCATCTCAGCAAAACGATGAGAAGCGCCTTCATGAACCGAATACATGGACAGATAAACTAGAAAAGCGGGGTACAAATTTAGAGGAATGTTTTGATATTTACGACAGCGATGAAGAAGAGGTTGAAGAGATTCGTCGCCTGCCAAAGGCCAAGGCAAATACGAAAACAGCTGAAATTGAGAAACTGGAAGAAAATTTAAAAGAGTGTGAAGCAGCTGTTCACGACAACGATGAGGAAATACCTCGCGTACCAAATACAAGAGCAGGTGAACTTCAGAAACCGAAGGAAGATATGAACGATTGTGCAGGCATTGATAGCAAGGACGAGGGGAACTTTCACGTAGCGAAGACAACAACAAATGTACCAGCGAAAGCAACAGAAAGACGTATGTCTTGGTTTCTGCTGCAGGAGAGAAGGAGTTCAATGTTGATAACCAGATTTATCTGGGCATGCATGGCAGAGGATGGATTTTATTTTTACTACCTATGACTAAATTTATCCGAGGAATGACTTCGTCGATATTATCAAAATCTTTTAAACGGACTTCAGCAACTACGGCCCATGGAGATTAGTAGAAGCTGTTCATGCCATATATATATATGTTATTATGGAATTAATGTATATTTGTTATATTGCAAGTATATAAATGTATGTATATAGTTGTATACCTTTATTTATTTTATTGTACAGTCTTTATTGTTGCACATAACTCCTGAGTGTTGCTTGAATTTGATCGTGGGCTCACGGTGAGTTTATTAAATAAAAATCTGTAATGAAAGATGACTGGTCAGTGGTTATTTCCTGCATGCTCGCGCAGGACTGGTTGCCAAGCCCTCATATCTGCCTTGTGTCTTCAGGGCGTCTTGCTGTGCAAATACCAACACAAGAAATACGCCAAGCTATAGCTCAGATCTGAGTTTAGCAAGGAAATATTTTAAAGACAGCATTGAGGGCTTCGCCAAACATTGGACTCCAGTGGTCAATACACTAGTTGTGAGAACATTATCTATTTCATTTTCACATGCAGTATAATGAGTTCAGATCCACAAATTGTTCAAGAAACACTTCACGAGAACGCTCTTCCTGGGAATTTCAACTTTGAAAAGGGCAGATGGGAGGGCAAAGCCAGTAGAGGTAAAACAAAACTCGTATTCGATCCAAAAACCAAGAAACTACTCGCAATGACACCGGAACAAGCCGCTGATGGATTCATAGGAGTTGATATGGCTCGTGAAGGATTTTTCAACCTATGGCTATGCATGACAGCAGACTGGAGTGCGTACATTCATAATATGAGTAAATAAGTAAACAGCACCGTTGTTTAAATGAGGCTATAAGATATACACTTTGTTAATGTCTAACTTTGTATATACGTCAAAAACTATATATTCTCAGTCTTCAATTGTCATATAGCTGACATAACACGATTAATTATCATAGCTGCATGGACTCGACTAAAATATGACCGATGTTCCTTCACTTCCTTGCCTCTAATAAATTTATTTATAATCGTTTGTGAAATGTTATTTACCAATTATTGTAAATGCTCGTACTGCTGATAGGTTTGATACTAGATAGTGATATAAAAACAAAATAAATATACTAGATAGTGATATAAAAACGAAAAGCGATTACGGCAACACTTTCACTTTGAGACTGAATTTCATACGTTTGCAAAACCTGATAATGACATCTTATCTCGTCGACGAGAACTATAAAACTGTCGCTGTTTACAATACAAAATATCGCCTCATTTCAAAGTATATATCAATATTTATTGATAATATTTATTGATTTAACTAACTTGTTAAGTTACTTCACAAGCTGTGCTCGAGATTTAGTACGTGCTATAAAAATATTTTTAATACAATACCCAAATACTAGAACAGGTTTTTCTAAGAACAGAAAATCGAAATTAACTTTTCCCCAGGAATAATTAACACTCGCATGCAGGTAAAGATCATGCAAGTATATATAAATACAACATGCAAAAATAGATACATCGCGGAGTTTACATTACGCTTGGGGTCAATTTAATTTGTTCATCCTTATTGATAAACTATAAAAATCAGCTCAACAGTATTTAGTCCTTTTGTTTTAAATCTAGCCATTCATTTCACGAAGAAAATAGTTCATAGGTTCATCTGTTCTCAAATGCCCTTCGTAGGCTTCCAGCCAGACTCTTCCTTTCATAATGACTTCATACAGCGACGAACGATCCGTCCACTGACTATCGTGATAGTGGCAAATTTTCAAGTACCCGTCACGTTTCCCCAACGTATGCGTCGTAGACCAAGCTCCCCAATCAGGCATTGGTTTGGGTGAAGAGACGATGACCATATCAGGAACTGAGTTTGGAAAACCACCGATGTAAATCCTGAGAGTGTATTCGTTGTCGTTGTTTGTTTTCAACTTTACTTCCACCTTTGTATCGCCCATAGGGTCGATCCATTTCACACAACCAGGAAAGAAATGATCCAGCACGCTTTTCTCTGCAGCTAAACGTTTCCTTTGAACTTCATTCCAGGGCATGTTTTGTCACCAGAAATGAAAACGTTGAAGAAACACACTTTGGTCTTTGGGTTGGCATTAGCTAATACGCAATAGAGGTTATTGAACATTTCCTAATTCCTAGTACTCGATCGTTTTCCAGGAAACAAAATTCACGAATGAACAGCCAAGTGTGACGGATATAACAAGCGTGTATCTGTTCAAATAACGCAACAAAATAAATCACTGCCTATCTGTATGGATAGTCATCGGCTCCTATACATATTATACTATGAAACTTTCGTTTTAAAAAGCTAGCGCAAGGGGAAGATAAAATAAGTATAAATCACTGCATGCAGGCAGGTAACAAAGCCTTAGTTATTCTGGTTATTCAAACTGAACGATCGCCAAGCTTACATGATTTCCAAAAGAGGCCATAAAAAACAGTTCAAATATGCATATTCGATATATAGTAATGCAAATTAACTGAAACCAAGTTGGGAAAGAGCGCGATATTGGACTCTCGTATCAAAAAACATTCAAGATATGCCCTAGAATTAAGCTCAGAGACAGAGGAAGCGGTTAGCCGCTGAAAAGATCGTACTGGATCATTACTTTCCCGGCTGGGTTCGTGAAGTGGATCGATCCAACTGCCGATACGAAAGTGGAAGTGAGGTTGAACACAACAGACAACAACAACCCATACACTCTCAGGGTTTACATTGGTGATTTTCCAAATTCAGTTAATGTTATGGTCGTGGTGTATGTCCTCGCCCAAACCATGCAATGCCTGATTGGGGAGTTAGGGTTACAAATCATATACTTTGGGGAACGTGACAGGTATACTTGAAAATTTGCCGCTATCACGAGAGTCAGTGGACGGATCGTTCGTCGCTGTATGAAGTCATTATGAAAGGAAGAGTTTGGCTCGAAGCCTACGAAGGGCGTTTGAGAACTAAAATGTCTATGAACTATTTCCTTCGAGAAATGCACGCTAGTAGTGGAAGTCCCCATTCTCCCCAAATGACTGGAGTTCCTCGTAGAGCGAATTAAACCAGTGAAAGAAAGAATAGAAGAGGCAGCTGCGTATGTCAGTAAAATGAGTCAAACGTCAGTAAAATGAACAACATTATAGGTGAAGCTCAGACTGTATACGAGACTGGACTGAACGGTTTTGCCTTAAGACAAAATATGTATACACCAATCAATTGACGGTTCTTTGTTAATTTGGGGTAACTTGCATAGAGTCTACCTTATTCAAAACTGACATTTGTATCCTGCAGAACATAGTATCAAATGTGGTATAACAACTGCCTAAAATAGACAAAATGCTTCTCGACGTTTCGACCTGAGGGCCTTCGCCAGAAGAGTTAGTATGAAAAACACTTTGGCTCTGCACAGCAGGGGTAATTTAAATTTCCAAGCATTCGTTTTCCTGCAATTGAAACAGAAACGAATAAGCAGGTCTGCCGCGGATATGAACAGTTTGAGTAACGCACCCTGTGTATGCTATTTATTTGAGGACGACATTTTGCCATATACATTAAATCACATGACCAAAGAAATGCAATTCGAGATAGAGTTAAAATTGAGGTTACGGTTTCGTTTAACGATTTGATATGATTAGCCTCGCAGGGTTCCAAAATATCATTGCGCGTGAAGAATCATGGATATCATAAAAGAACAAAGCCGAATAGGAGTGTATCGTATACGAAAAGATTTATGCTTTTAATTTATTACTTGAAAATTTAGCTAGCAGCCATACAACTATGCCAGTGTAAAACTCGAATACAACAACAAATGTACCAGCGAGGGCAACAGAAAGACGTGTTTTGGTTCCTGCTGCAGGAGAGAAGGGAATCAATGTTGATAACCAGATTTATCTACAATCCTGGCCAAAACCATTGACTACACTCAAAATGATTTGTAGTTTTTTACGCAAAACATCAAAATTTCTGTGTCGATTTCCCCCCTCGCCCCCTAATCAATGTTGAAATCAATGCTAAATGCTTGAATGAGTTTTGACACATCACCCAACATTGATTTGTGGGGGAAAGGGGGAGAATTTTGAAATATATTCACTCGTGTTTCGTCTTTGTGTTTGTGCATGCATGTCTTCAGGACGTATTGCTGTGCAATATATTAACTAATTTAGGTGAAGCTAGCGCTAGTGATTTGCCGACACAACG